GTCCGCCGCCCCCGCCCGGGCCGCGCTCTCGCTCTCCAGCTCCCGCTCCCTTCCTCCCGGCTCCAACTCCTCCTCCTCTTCCTCCTCCTCCATGCCCCAGTTCTTCTTGCTTGTACTCATCCTCCTGCTGCTCGAGGACGCGGGAGCCCAGCTAGGTGAGTGGTCCCGGGGGAGTGCGGGGGCAGCTTGGGGCGCCCCTCTCCCGGCCTTAAGCCGGATCTGCAGGCGGCGCCGGGGAGGTGCGTGGTGCGTGCACCCGGGTGCGTGGCCAGACTGGCGGGGCACCGGCGGGGTGGAGTTGAAAAGGTGGGCTCTGTCTGCCTATCCCCCAAGTTGTGCGGCTATACTTTTTGGCAAGGCCGTTCATTTCTCTCAAAAGAGAGAAGCGGGACCCTGCTGTTTTGGCCACTTGTTTAGTATTGGGTTCTTCTGTTGGGGAAAGCCTTTGGGAGGAAAGAGAACTCGTGGAGATGTGTGTGACCTTTAAAGTTAGGCCAGGTGAATGGTTGGACTGATCAGAAAGGCAAGAAAATTAAATAGTTTCGTAAACGAATTAAAGACAAGTAGTGATAGTTATCATCCTTTGTGAAAGTGCTCAGATTCTAAAGGGAGTAAAATCGATTCTGGCTGCCTTGAAGTCTTGGATTCGGAACATGTCCTTTACAATCCCTGCCGATTATTCAGGATGGTAGTCTAGATGTCTGGGTCACTGGGTCTGAGCCAAGTTAAAGTGTTATGTTGCCCAAGTGGAGCGTTCCACGTTAAAAGGGTAAACTTCCCAGAAAAATGAAAACAAACTTTTTTCCAGCTATAATCCTTGAAAAAATCTATCCCAGAAGCAAGCAAAACTGTTTATTGAGTAATCATTATAATGGAAAGAGAATGCAGAGCTAAGTTTTTTCTCACCTTTTAGTACTATTTTCAGGCAGTGTACCACAATTTGGAATCACTTTGGTAACAGTTAAAGAACACACTTTCCCTCTGCATTTCCTGTTTAATTGAGATGAGAAGGATAAGAATTGTTACTTATTTACTGGGACTTTTTTTTTTTTTAATTCACCTCCAACTTTTAAGTCCAGCCCACTGTTGCTCTAACATGGTTTTCAGTAAAGCATGGAATCATGGCCATAAGCCTGTCATTATGAAGGTGCTGAAACTTTGACAGGCATGTGAAAGTGTAATCTGATTATGAGGAGAAAATGTATTTGGTAAACTGACCTCTTTAGATGTAGGCTCATTTCTAGGTAATATAGTTTAAAATTTCATGGGTAGAAATATACCTAGATGTTTCACATTCAGGTTTTAGTTGTATTATCTCTGAAATGAATTATTGAACATCAAACCTGTTAAACCAGACTCATTGCCGTCAAGTAGATTCCAACTCATAGCAACCCTATGGACAGAGTAGAACTGCCCTAGAGGGTTTCTAAGGAGTGGCTAGTGGATTTGAACTGCCAACCTTTTGCTCAGCAGCTGAGCTTTTAACCTCTGGGCCACCAGAGCTCCTGTTGAACATCAGTTCTTAATAAATTAAAGAGAGTGTGAAATCCTTCCCTTCCTTGAAGTTTTGAGCCTATGTATTTATCTCCTGGTTTAAAAAACAAAGAACCCACAAGGTTTTACATGACTAACACTTATTTGCCCATGGAAGCAGCGGTCAAGAAATCAAACGATGTATTGGGCAGATCTGCTGCAAAAGACCTCTTTAAAGTATTAAAAAGTAAAGATGTCACTTTGAGGACTGATCACTTTGAGGACTAAGGTATGCCTGACCCAAGCCATGGTATTTTCAGTCACCTCGTATGCATGTGAAAGCTGGACAATGAGTAAGGAAGACCGAAGAAGAATTGAAGCCTTTGAATTTTGGTATTGGTAAAGAATATTGAATATACCATGATCTGCCAGAAGAATGAACAAATCTGTCTTGGAAGAAGTACAGCCAGAACGCTCCTTAGAAGCGAAGATGGTGAGACTTTGTCTCAGTTACTTTGGACATGTTATTAGGAGGGACCAGTACCTGGAGAAGGACATCATGCTTGCTAAAGTAGAGTGTCAGTGAAAAAGAGGAAGACCTTCAATGAGTTGGGTTGACACAGTGGCTGCAGCAGTGGGCTCAAACATAACAATTGTTGGAGGATCATGCAGGTCTGGGCAGTGTTTTCTTCTGCTGTGCATGAGGTGGCTGTAACTTGGAACCAGCTTGACATGGCATGTTAACAACAACAACGTCAAAGGCAATTTGTAGAAAGGGCAAGGGGTATGAGTTTTCTGGGCTTCCCTCTTTTAGCAGAGCACTTATTTGGGCTTTACTTTGTGGTAGGCACAGTTCCAAGTGGTTTATGTACACTCAGTCTTTACTGCAACCATCTGAGATAAGTACTGCCAACCCATTTCAGAATCGACTCAGTGGCAGCTAACAACAACATCCCATTTCAAAGATAAGGAAACTGAAACAAAGAATATAAGTTACCTTGATACTGAAAGGAATATTGTGATAATCAGAATGTTCCAACTGTTTTTGCTTATTTCTACATCTGAAAGTGTTTATATTATATTAAAAAATCTTATTATGGTATAGAATGAGTTACATGCCTTCCCTCCAAAAGAGATGATGACTTGATTTTAAAGTTTCTCAAGCGCAGTCTAATATTTAACAAATTTTTTCTCTTTCGTAGTGTCATCTTACATAGATTTTCAGTGTAGATTAATGCAAATAGAAATGATGCTATTTGTTAAAAGGCCTGATTTCTAGTTCTTATATTTTAAGTTGCTTGGATAAATTCCAAGACATTTAATCTCTTTGTACCTCAGTTTTTTATACTGGTGATCAGAGAAGTATCCTATCTCATACCTTTCTCATAGCTTTAATGAAGATGAAATAATAGTGTCAAGGAGCTTTGCAAAGAGGAAAGCATAATATGCTTATAAATGATTATTATTAATCTTGACCTTACTAAATTGATAAAGGGCTAATTAGGTATACCTCATCTACAAACTCAGGATTTATGTGGGATTTGAATTCACTAATTTTAAAATTTTATTAGCTCCTGAGAGAACCTATGCAGTCTGTGGTAGAATGACTTTTAAACCAGGGTCTTACCAATGTGACACATGTGCTTCAGGGGCCACTGGCATTCCCTCACATGACCGGAAAACAAGTCTCATTTCAGAATGAGAAGTAATGCATTACAGGACCAGTAGAATTTAATTAATGGAAATGTACACATGTTGTAATGTTAAGTTAGAAGCTGGAGTTGTTACTCTTCTCTGTAAGAAGCCTTAGGAAGAAAACTGGAAGAAAATGGTAATAAAATTCAAGAGTTACTGTCTTTTGGTGGTAGGATTGTGGGTAATTTCTTCTTTCCACTTTTCCAAATTTTCTGTAATTTGCATATAGTTAGAATAAAAAAATAGATTGTGGAAGAATGGTTTTTGATATATAGATTTTTTTTTTTTTTCAGCCAGCCTTGGTAGAAATGCACTTAATATGTATTTTGAGGTAGAGCTCTGCCTCAGGGTTTTTTGATCTTGCAGACATCGTTTTGAAATAGATAGCAGAAGAAATTAGCCTCATTCCAATTAATGCCATGCTTTGCCATCCCTCAGCAGGTTTTCTGCTGACAGAATGATTTTTCCCTTTATTTGGCTCAGAATAAAATTTATCTGTGGCCTGAAGACTTGTCAACCTTTCACAGCAAAGATGTATTTTAACCAATCTCATTTTGCTAATTTATAGATGGATTCTGTTTATTCACATGTATTATGTTGGTGTTTTAAATATGGCTTGTATTCATATACATTTGAGTTCTAAGTTTGATATTAAGAAAAGTTCATCTTCAAAATCTTTTTTTTGTTCTGTAAAATATATGTCTTCCTAAAAACTTAAATTGTAGAAACTTAAGCTGATTGCATATTTACTGCTGTAATAAACTTAATATGAAGTTGATAGTCTACTATGAATGAATTTCTGTCTTAGTTTACATTATGACTAGGAATTTGAGCTCTCATGAGCTCAGCTTTCTCATTTGTGTCATGAAGGGCTTATCTACTTCTGGGTTAGAATATGACTTATACGTGATAAAACAGAATTAATTTTAAAAATCCATTAAGACAACTTGTTTATGACATTAAATGTTTGTGAAGGGATTGGTTTTTGTTTGCTAATTTAATAAATGTACAAAAAAAGCAGGTTCTCTCTTTAAAATAATCATTCATTTCCACAGTGGAATTTGAGACTAATGTTTGAAAAAAGTTTGTATTCCATCAAGTAATGCCTTTATTTGCTTGTGGTGCAGGAAACTATTTTTTGAACAATAGTTGTAAATTGTCAGAAATGAAGAACTTATCTAATACTGACATTGGGTTAATTTAAAATTTCCATTGTCTTTTCTTGGTCTGATAAAACATTAGAACTCTTTTATATAGTTTTATTCGGAGACAAAATCAATGCATCCTTTTTTTGCTATATGTCTGATTAATTTTGCCCAATGGAAATTACAGACATAGCACACATTCCACATGTGCTAATGATCAAATTTAAAATCCACATTTTTGAAACGTATACATGAGAAACTGATAGTAAAGTTATGTGTCATTGTTTTTTTTTAGGTATATCTCCCTATGTTATAAGCAAACATAAAACACATTATTTTCCTCTGGAGATAGTTAATGATTCTGTTTGAACATCTGCGCTTCATTCTAGAAGACCAACAGGGGAAAAAAATTCAAGCGGTGAAATTGGTGCAAGTGAAAGTACCAGTACTAGAATTAAAATGACGATTGAAGAGGAAAGGCTAGATGTACATAGGGGTAGACTTTACATTTAAGGACTATATTTAACAAAATGAGCCTGAGATATGAACCCTCAAGTACTAATAAACCAAAAAAACCAAAGCTGTTGCCATCGAGTCAATTCTGACTCATTGCAACCCTATAGGACAGAGTAGATCTGCCCCGCAGGGTTTCCAAGGAGCGGCTGTTGGATTTGTACTGCTGACCTTTTTGGTTAGCAGCCAAATGCTTAACCACGGCCAACAGGACCCCTCAGGTAGTAATATTGGGTATTAATTAAATGTATGCAAATAGACAGTTTCTACTTCCACTTCTTGATTAGTTGGAAGAATGTGGAATGATGACATAAGATTAAACGGATTAGGGAAAGCTTCATAGAGATAGTGACTTTGATAAATGTGAATGTTGACATATAAGGTGAGACAGTTTGGCAATATGTCTTTTGTGGCATGTGGATTTGATTTAATTTACAACTTGTGACCATAGCACTTTGTATTTATTTTAAAAATATTGTTCAGATAACAATGACAGTTACTCAAAACCAATAGCTTAGATGATAATTTTCCACAATTCTACCCCATAGTCTGTCAGCTTAAAATTTAGGTTCCTTACTGTTCCATATTCACATACCTATATAATTTTACACAGTCATAATTTTAATAGTGGTTTGTTATGTTCTATAGACATATTAAATAATTTATAGGCCAATTTAGCACATACAAGCATACCTCTGACATACAGCAAGGCAAAGATTTCAAAAATGTAGAAATAATAAGACATTTATTATTTATGAAGTAATTACTATATCATTCAGAGCTGCTATTGCATTATTTTCTTTATTTTATTTGATTAGATTCTTTATTCTGCATAGGATCTTTCAGAAAGTATTTCCCTTCCATATGTTAGCCTAGAGACCTAAGTCATTCTAATTCTGCAGATTGTTATGTAGGTTAAATCCTTATAATACATGAGTACCGAAATACAGATATTCAAATAAACTAGTATTTACTGCATACCACTGTCCACTGAAGCAGACAGGATCATGGGGTGATCTCTAAGGGCTGCTAAAACATCATCTACTTATATCACTCTGCATTCTTAAAGATATGTATTTGGAAGATGAACTTTGATTAGCTATTTAAATTATGGGGGAGACTCCAGGGTGCAAGCTCACATCAACTGCTTTCTAAGGAGAGTGGGCCCAGAGTTCACTGCAGGGCTTTTGTTGAGTAGGATTCATGCACATTTGCAGTCAAAGCTGAACTGCTTGGGAACAAAGAGAAGATACTAGTATCATTCTCTCATTAAGAATTATCATTGTGAAGGGTTACCACCTGTAAGTTTCCAGGAGAGTGTGCACATATGTCAGTAAGTCCTGGAAACATTCAGAGAAGCGTAGAATGTTGCTTGGCATTGTCTTTAGAAAACCTACAGCCTAATTGGGGAAATAATTATCTCCTAGTTGGAATATATAATATATAAAAATAACCCAGGAAGTGTGCACAATGCTGTGGGCTGGTGAGGGATGGTGAGCTGACAGCACCCAGAGAAGGAGGAGCAGCCTTGCCAATAAACTGGTTTTAGGTGGGTGGGCTTTGAAAGATCGGCATGTTTCTAGACCACAGGAGGGCAGACATTTGAGGGGTAAAGAATACAACCTGAGAGCAGCAGAGAGTCAGGAAGGCAGGGAAGTGTGAAAGCTGTCTCGCTTCAGTGACACAAGCCTCTCAGGCTCTGCTTCTGCCCACTGCTTCGTCCTTGAGCCCCACACCCTGCACCTCTGCCCAGTCATTGGGCAAATATTTGTTGATTCGTTACGGTGGGCCAGCTAGGGTTCTAAACACTGGGATGACGCCTTCTTGGGGTTGTGTTAATGACTTCTGTGGTATGGCCAGCAGCCCCTGAGCACCTAAAGGATGCAGTCCAAACTTCTTTGCACGTTATATATGTACTTTTTTTCACAATCTGGTTCCTCCTTTCCTGTCTGACCTAATCTCATGCCAGCGCCCATCACACTTTATACTTCAGGTGTTAGACTGAGTTACAGTATTTTTGATTCCTCTAATGTACTGTCATTTCATGCCTTTTTGCCTTGTTTCATGTACTGATCTCTTTATGTATGCAGTTTTCTGTACGTGCCCTTATCTTCTTTCTCTGTCCATCATCTCAGTGATGTTGTTCCCCTGGTCCTTGGCAGTTTCCAAACTGGGCTTATGTGCCGTTCCTCATTGACTGTTTTCTCTGGCTCTGGATAGTTCAGAGTTACTAGTCATGTGGTCACTGTGCTTAGATAACTACAAATAAGGTGTGAACAACTGCTAAGCAAAAGGTTGGAGGTTCAAGTCCATCCAGAGGCACCTCTAAAGAAAAGCCTGGTGACCTGCTTACGAAAAATCAGCCATTGAAAACCCAATGGAGCACAGCTGTACTCTGACACACATGGGGTCATGTGTCATGTGTTGGAATTGACTCAACAGCAACTGGTTTGGTTTTCGGTTAATCAGGTCTCGAAGGGGGTGGCTGCTCAGCAGCAGCATTTGGACGATCCCTTTTTGTAGAGCTGATTTGCAGAGCTGAACTCTTGCCCTGCTCCTCATCCCTTCACCACATGATGGTCTCCTGCCTCACCTTCCTTACTTCCTGAAACCATCTCTTCCACCTTGTCCAGAACTTGCTTCATCAGGGAATATGAGCTTTGCTTTAGTATACTTTCAGCTGCAGCGGGACCTCTTACTTTATCTGGAAACACACTCAGAAGGCCACTGGATTATACATCTTTCTTTTCAGCTCTTTGCTTCCCTGGTACGTTATATCTCTTTGCTTTTGTTCAGTGACAGACTTCCTAAAAAGTAGCCTTCATCTGTGCTGTACATTTTCCTTGTGTCTGGCACACAGCAGATACTTGTTAAATGATGAATTTGTTTTTTAACCCTTGTAGTCTAGGTTCTGCTGTACTGAAACTTATTTCAACTGACAGTTTTGTTTTTGTTTTTACTCTTCAAAATCTGGACGCTTTGTCTCTCTTCATTTTTTCTACCTCAGTAGTCTTTGAAAGTATGGAGTCAGACATACCTGTATTTAAATCCTAGCCGTGTTGACTTTTGAGATGCACTTAAATCACTTTGAATGTTTTTAAATGTACAACTCATCTCTTTTTTAGAATGCATAAGGTCTGGGGCAAAATCTGTTTGGGTAGTGAGTGAATTTTTCTTAAATGAGTGACTCAGTATGTTTACTAATGAACATTGTTTCTCTTTCCCCTACTTTGCAGTTAAAATCCCCATTTTCAAATGTTTACCCAGACTCACTGCTTTTCCATCTTTCTGTGCCCAGTCTTCATTCCAGTTATTGCTTAGGGAAGTTCTGCCTTAAGGACCTACCCCTAGCTCCATGAGAGGTACCAGATCATGCAATAGAGGAATGATTTTCACATTATTTGTCCTTCACTGGCCTTCTGCCCACCCAAACCTTAGTGTTGCCTTTCCCCTCTCCCTTTAACCTCCACTCTGTCTCACCAACTTAATACCTTTTCAAATATTTCAACTTTCTTTGCTTTCTACATTCTCAGACTGTTTTCAGGTTTATGGTCTTATCTCTTCTCTCCTGGCATGCCCTTGCTTCTGGTTTTCTTCAGGTCCTCGAAGCTGATTCATAGGTCTGGATGTGAGGTAGGCATTCTGTTGCATGGGTGGAGGGAAAGGTGTTTTAATTAGGAATCTTGAGGTTGTGAGGAGCCCTGGAGGTGCAGTGGTTAAAGCACTTGGCTGCTAACTGAAAGGTTCATAGCTCAAACCCACCAGCAACTCCGTGGGAAAAAGATGTGGCACTCTGCTTCCCTAAATATTATAGCCTTGGAAACCATATGGGGCAGTTCTACGCTGTCCTATAGGGTTGCTGTAAGTTGGAATCAGCTCGACGGCAGTGGTCTTGAGGTTGTGGAAAACAGAAATCCAAATCTGCTTAAGGCAGAAGGGAAAGAGATGAGGATATGATGTAACTCGTGGAGTCTTCGTAAAAGCTGAACCAACCCAAGCCAAGAGGAGAGCGTGAGTGCAGCTGGACCTCTGGCACCACGAACTCTGCTTAATTTTTGTCTCTTGCTTCAGTCTGGCTCTTTCTACAGGTTAGGAATCATGGCTCCGGCAATCTGAAAGGCTTGCAGCTTCAACACCTGAGAGATTCTGGGATTTTCCCTATTGTACAAGGTCCGTAAATTGGAGGGAAGGGACTTGTTGGCCCACTGTGAGTAAATACCCACCTTGGACCAGCCAACTAGCCAAGGAGCGTGAGGTTATATGAAACCTGTAGGGAAACTGCAGGGCAATGAGGGGGGCACTAGACAGACTGAGGTGTCCTCTCCAAGGGGAAAGAGTGTTCACACTTATAAAGTGTCTGCTATAGTTTACATAAATTCTTGTTGAACCCTCACATTTACCTTGGAAGATGGATGGAATTATTTCCATGTGCAGGTGAGGAAATGGAGGTTTACAGAAGTGTCCAGGATCTCAAAAGTTGGCGTGGCTAGAATTTAAATACAAGTCTTTCTGACTCCAAAGCCTATGTGCTTTCTACTATATCACTTGCCTACCATAATGTAAGGTTTGTTTGGGTTTATTATTTTTTATTTTTGTTTTTTCCCATACAAAAATTTATACATACATTGTTATGTGACTCTAATTGCTCTCCTGATACTGTGACAGCACACTCCTCCTTTCCACCCCTGATTCCCTATGTATGTCCATTCAACCAGCTTCTAACCCTCTCTGCCTTCCCATCTCATCTCTGGACAGAAGCTGCCCATTTAGTCTCTTGTATCTACTTGAGCTAAGAGACACACTCCTCACGAGTATCCCTTAATGTTGTTTGGGTTATTTTTTGAATTCAGCGGTATACGTTGAGAGGCTAGTATTTTTCATTTCTGTGCATATGAGTGGGAATCGACTTGATGGCAATGGGTTTTTTTT